GATGCTGACACTGTACCGCATGCACACTTGGATGCTGACACTGTACCGCATGCACACTTGGATGCTGACACTGTACTGCATGCACACTTGGATGCTGACACTGTACCGCATGCACACTTGGATGCTGACACTGTACCGCATGCACACTTGGATGCTGACACTGTACTGCATGCACACTTGGATGCTGACACTGTACCGCATGCACACTTGGATGCTGACACTGTACTGCATGCACACTTGGATGCTGACACTGTACTGCATGCACACTTGGATGCTGACACTGTACCGCATGCACACTTGGATGCTGACACTGTACCGCATGCACACTTGGATGCTGACACTGTACTGCATGCACACTTGGATGCTGACACTGTACCGCATGCACACTTGGATGCTGACACTGTACTGCATGCACACTTGGATGCTGACACTGTACCGCATGCACACTTGGATGCTGACAGAGGTGAAGATGGAGCCTAGCAGGGGAAAGGCCTCAGGGGCATCTGGATAGCTGCATAAGTGAGGGAAGAGGCAACACAGATTCCAGGCTTGAGACCCCGTGCAATCTCCTTCACCACTCTATTTAGGGGTACTTGGTAGAAGATGTTCTTCTGAAAATTGGAAGACACTGCTGGTCAGGGTCCACCTGCCTCTGTTGCATGTCTCACATCCCAGAATAGTGTGGCCAGAGCACAACAAAAATAAGCTACATGCACTTCTGAAGGTCATTTTTGGAAAACAAGATGATGGCCTTGCAAGGTATCCATATCCTAACCCTGACCTAATCTCTTGTGGTCTCAATGTTGTCACAAGGGTATTTGTGATTAAAGCAGAGGCAAGAGAGACAGAGGGGTGTGACAGTGCAACTAGGAGTAGGAGCAGTGTGAGGTCATAAGCCAAAGAAACAGAGAAGGCGGTGACATGGAAACTCCCCCCACCCTCCAGAGGAAACACAATCCTGCCAACTCCTTGAGTTTAGCTCCATGAGACCACGTGGGACTTAGGACCTCCAGAGCCATATAATGATAGAATAGTGTTGTGTAAGCTTCTACATCAGTGGTTATCAGTTACAAAAACAACCAAGGAATACAACTCTGTGACAATTTAGGCTTTCTCTGGAGACAGTGGAAGGCCTCAGAGCAGTCTGAGAGAGGATACTCTGGCATATATGTACAATCTGGTGTGAGGGAGAGTATGGGGGGTTAGAAAGAGAAAGGGAAAGATCAGGGTAGGACTGTGGTCACGAGCAATGATGGTCCGTGCAGAAGGACAACATGGGACTGATAATTTACTGGCTGGGGGTGGCTAGAAGGAATGCCTGTGAGGCAGGAGAAGGACTTGCCTGATCAGGAACAGAACTGGCTCCAAATGAAGAGAGAGGGAGGGTGGCTGACTCTGGGTCTGGGAGGGATCCCAGGAAGACAGTTCATGTCTGAAGCTGGGGAGCACGGAGCAGGAAGGAAGGCCTGCCTGCAAGGGTTGGGTGCATCTGTGGAGATGGACCAAGGACTGTATTCCCTGGAAGTGACAACAATTAGCAACCTAACTCCCAGCTTTGCTATACCAGAGAGTCCTGGGTCCTCAGCTTGGGACCACCCAGCTATGACACCTGTGAGTATCAGGGTGAGGCTGACTTTGCCCTGGATGGTGCTGAGTCAGGCAGTAAAGTTCACCTTTTCATTAATTATCTTCAGGAACGATAAAGATTCATTAATTAATTGTAGAGGCTGCACATGTTGGAGGCATTGTGAAGCCCGGCGCAGGGGCAAGCAATCATTCAGAGAGCTGCTAACATGGACAAGGGATGCCATGAGCCTGGTGTGCAAAAGCACAGGGGGATTCAGCTAGAGGGTGTTAATCCATAGCGTTGGAATCCAATAGGCAGTGACTGCTAACACAGTAGAAACGTTCGAACCGCCAATGGGTATCTGGACAACAGATTAATTATAATTCTACTGAGCTTTGGGAAAGTGGTCTATCATGTTTCCCCCCAAGTTACTGGTCTCATTTTCTTGGATGGAGAACTCGTGCCCTCATGCCACCCTTGCTCCATGCTTACATGCCTGCAGGGACACACACACACACACACACACACACACACACACACACGCTCGCACGCACGCACAGGCACGCACACACACACGTGTGCGCTTGCACGTGCTTTCGCTTTCCTACTCCCTGGGTGGCTCAACAGAGTGATAGAGACTTTTCTACCACCTTCTGTGACCTAGTGAAGGGCTATAAAACTCCCTAGGCACACATGTCAGGAAAAGCAAAAGTGGGGCCATGCTGGCCCATGCCTGACAGTCCTTCAGTCTGAACGCCAGCAGCAGCTAATGCTTTAGGTGAGACCAGAGAAAGAAAGGCCTGTGACAAGAGAGGCCAAGAGACTCAAAGTGCCGAGAGTGGCAGAGGCAACCAGGACCCTCCCCCGTTCTCTTCAGATACCCCAACCAGGACCCCAGATGGTAGGAGGAGGTAGTGTGGTTACCTTGGGCCACCATGTTATTGGTTACAGTAGTCACTTCCAGAAAGGTAGGAAATACCCCACACTGGGAGCAATATGCCAAGTGCCGATGCTGTCTTCCCTGGGGATTCCCAGCAGAGTTCCAAAATGTATGTGAGGAAAGGAGTCAGGCACCTTCTTATACAAGTTGGGCCAGAAGAGCTCAGAGGGCACCAGGCACCCCTCTGATGACCACTACAGACCCCCAGGGCTCGGAGCTCCTTGACTCGTAGGACAGCAATCTTCCCAGGAAGCTACATGCTCACAGAGACCGTGGGGCTGAACTCCAAGCCCATATTTCCAGACCACCTGTTGCGCTCGTTTTAAAATGCAGCTCCTCTTCAGAGCTATGCCTCCCTTTCTGTGAGTCCCATGGATTCATTGCCCGCACCTGTCGTGTCGGTTAACTTTCTCACTGATGTGACCAAGTACCAAGCAAGCCAAGGGGGGCTTCATTCTGGCTCACAGTTTAAGAAGGGGTAGGGCCCAGCATGGCAGGGAAGCCATGGCCGTGGTAGCATGAGGCGGCTGATCGCATTGTGTCTGTGGAGAGAGACGAATGGCCGTGCTTAGCTGGCATTTCCACTTTTTATTCAGTCAAGAACCCAGTTTCTGGTGCTGCAGACATTTGGGGTGGATTCTCTCACCTCAGTTTACCCAGTGTAGAAACTTCTTCACTAGCGTGCCCCAGAAGTTTGTCTCCTATATGACCGTAGATCAGTGGTTATCAACCTGTGGAGCAAGATCCCCCCAGACCACCAGAATACACAGATATTTACATTGTGATCCATAACAGTAGCAAAATTACAGTTAGAAGCAGCCACAAAAATAATTTTCCGTTGGGGGTCACTGCACCATGAGGAACTGTATCAAAGGGTTGCAGGGTAGGAAGGTTGAGAGCCACTGCTCTAGGTCCTGTCGTGCTGACGAGGTGAACCATCACACCTGTGCTCCAGCCCCTTTCCCACTGAGAAGTTGAGTTCTTCCACCTGGACACTCTCAACTGTCCCTCTGCACCGCCTCTGCTTCCGGCGTTCTAGGGTGGGTCTTCCCTGCTTCCTGTACAACGATGGCAATTTTCAACTACCTGGCACCTTGACCCTATTTTGCTTCCTCATCCCAGCTCAATCTATTTTCATATCACAAGTAAAATGATTTTTCTAAAGAGCAAATCTACTCAGTTTTCTGCTTTAAAATCTCCTAAAAGCTTAGCTCTCCATCACTTCTTAGATCTACTCAACTCAGATCCAGGTCAAGGGGGCATAGAACTCACTTGTGGCTGATGGTTTGGACAGCTGGGGTGAGGGCTAATGGGTAAAGTATAGCCAGACGACTGAGCAGTGTCACGAATGCAGTGAGGAACACACGGTGCTTCCAGACCCGTTTCCGAGCTCACCAGGCTACTACATCTCACTGAAGGTTGTCATGGGTAAGAAGGGACCAAAGGCTGGCTTGGTTTTCAGGGATCCTGAAAAGGGAGGTGGAGAAAAGCCTGATGACGTTTGAAGACAGCACAGGCCAGGACCACGAGATGGGGTGGGGTTGAGGATGCTAGATTTCCTTTTGTGGGCTGGGGGGAGATGCTATGGACCTTTAAAAACATTTTAGTACATTTTTAATTTGTTTTCTCTCTCTCTCTCTCTCTCTCTCTCTCTCTCTCTCTCTCTCTCTCTCTCTCTCTCTCTCTCTCTGTGTGTGTGTGTGTGTGTGTGTGTGTGTGTGTGTTTTCATGCTCATGCCACAGCCAGAGAATGGAGACCAGAGAATGACCCAAGGGAATTGGATTTTGCACTCCCCAGTATGGGTCCTAAGAATCAAACTTGGATCATCAGGCTTGTTGAGATTGCCTTTAACTAAGCTGCTGAGCCAACTCCCTGGTCCTCTAAGTGCCTTTAAATGAGAAAACTTCGTTTTTTTCTTTTTTTTTTAAAGCATTTTATGTGTATGGGTGTTTTATCTGCATGTATGCCTGTGCACCAAGGGCATGCCCGGTGCTTGAAAAGGCCAGGAGAGGGCATCAGATCCCCTGGAACTGGAGTTACAGGTAATTGTAAACTACTGTATCAGTGCTGAGAATCAAACCTAGTCCTCTGGGCAAGCAGCCGATGCTCTTAATCACGATGCCACCTCTTCAGCTCCTCTGTGGGCCTCTAAAGAGGACATGGAGCTGCTATGGTGGCATCTGCAGTTGTGTCCTGGTGCAGCACAGACAAGCTCAGAGCACAGAGCGTGAGAGCCCACAGTTCCTCCATCCAACTCATGTCAGCAACCTGAGCGTCATGGGCAAAGTGCAGCCAGCAGCAGGCCTTGCTCAGTGCGAGCATGTGGGACACAGCCACATGACCTCCACTGCATAGGACAGTGCGGGACCCTGGGAGCAAATTGGAGAATGGAGCAATGGGGACACCCCAATTTTCTCCACGGCCCCTCCTGACTCACAGAGGTTTTGTTGTTGTTTTATGTTGCATGTTATTCTAAGAAATTAAAAAGAGAATTAAAGTTTTAGAAGGACTGTTATTGTTCATCTCTGATGCGATGCCACGATTAAATCCAAACATTCGGAAGCAGAACGTGCACGTGGAATGACCACAACGTCTTGATTCTTTTATAGACTGCATTGTAACAGATGCGCAGGACTTTGCACCCATCCGTGATGCACTGACACCCAATACTGCCTCGGCATGTTTCCATGGCTTCAAAATGTCACATGTGGGTGTCCCAAATACTCTACCTCTTCAGGCTCTTAAACCTGCAGAGAATAATGAAAAGGTGTCGTGTGCTGCTAAGATGGGGGTTCAGGGTTCATCCATCAGTTTGGGTTTGGGGTACCACTGCCTTCAGTGTTCAGTCTTTCACTTGGGGTCACAGAGGCTACTGAGCTCTGCTTTTTGATCCCCTGAAGTCCTGTGTTCCCCATCAGTACCCATGGGGAGCTAGCAGGGAAGGTCCATGAATGTCCAGTTGTGCCTGGAGGCTCTACTGTTTGTCTTATTGCAGATGTATATTCAAAGCCAGAATTATCAAGAATTTCACAATGACAAGAAATCATGAAAGCAAGAGAGAAGTGCATTGAACCAAGCAAAGGGACCATTATGCTAAGCAAAGAGATTTTGAAAGTAGGTATGGCCCTTCTGAACTCAGGGCCTGTGTGACAAGGCAGGCGGGCACAGCCCACAGCTGCTGTGGGAAGGCTGGATGTGGGCATCCCCATCTCTGGCATGTGCTGCCAGTACAGACCACTGTGCTCCTCCAAGCCACAACACAGGCTTCTGTCCCCCAGACCCAGATGCTGCTGGTCAGGTCTCCTTCAGCAGTGCACTTAGCAAGCAGAGCCAACTACCCCACCCTGTGCCTCCCCCACCTCTGTGTGTGTGTGTGTGTGTGTGTGTGTGTGTGTGTGTGTGTGTATGCGCGTGCGCGCATGGTCCACCTGTCTCCACTTCCCCAACCAGGAATTACAAGTATGTGCCACCACACCCTGATTTTTAAAAAATGTGGGTTCTGAAAATTGAGCTTAGGTCCTCATACTTGCAAGGTGACCATCTTAACCTTTCTCTTAGATGTAGAGTCTGTGCCCTGTCTCATGTCTGCCATAGACCTGGAGGTCTGGCTTAGTCCTGAATATAAGCAGTCAGTTTCATTCGTTGGGTTTCCCTACCAACAAGGCATGTAGAGGAGCAATCTCCCAGCATGTGTACACATCCCTGATAAAGTGTGATCTGAATAAAGCATGCTAACCCTCCCTGAACATGGTCCATGGGATCTGGCGCATCCCATGAGTAAGGGGCTAGCCAGTTGGGAAGGGAAGATGGGTGCATGGGACTGACTCTACAGCTGTGCAGAAGGGCTGCTTGGCCCCCAGGAGCCCCCAGGAGCACCCTAGGGTTGGGTAGAGCACAGAGGAGGCAAGGACAGGGGTCACATTGATCCTACCTCCCTTTCTGGAAGTCCTTAAAGACAAACTACCAGGCAAAGCCTCGAATCTCCATCACAGAGACTTTCTCCATAGTCACAGCAATCTTGGAGAGGTCCTGGAAGTCCTGCCCTGGGGAGGGGGAGGCAGAGAGCAGGGAAATTATTGTGTTTTTTTCATAGTTTCAGCAATTTTAGGTGACACTGGCCTGGGGCTAATGGGTATTCCTTTATACATTCTTCCTTTTTTGTTGTTGTCTGCATCTGATTTCATGGGTGTATCCGAATTCTGGACACCCAGCTGCAGGAAACCTCAAACAATCTCCTAATTCCTTGGAAGGACTTCTCAACAAAGATTAGGAAGCCTGGCTGGAGGGATGGCAGTGACGTCTTACAAGGAGCAAGAATGCGTTTTATTGGAGAATATGGGCATTGGAGACAGAACAAAAGGACGAAAACGGTGAACAGATGGGGGGTGTTCAGCAAGGGCTCATGATCTATGTGAGCAATGTGGGCTATGCCCTCCCCTTTTTTCTGTTTCTGATGCATGGGGGTATGATGTGATATGATATGACAGAACACGTCAAAAATTTAGGGGAAAATAAAACCCTGTTTTTTTGTGTCTTTTTTTTTTTAAACATCAAACTATTGCTATCAATAGGAACAGCAACTGTTCAAAAATTTGTTTCAGAACTGCCAAGAAGTGAACGCTGGTAGGAAAAAAAAAGTCTTTTTCCCTGCTGTTTGCAAGGTGGACACAAATGCAAACGGTAGGAGGTTGACAACTTGACACATGTCTAATAAATCTAAAGCATAAAAAGTCAACAATTCCCTGCTCAAGAAAGCATCCGTGGAATAAAAAGTGCTACGCAAAGAAAGAATAACCATTAAGAAATAGATTTTCTGAATTCAGTGAGTAATTTAGCCCTTGGAGTGCCAGCCTTCATAACAGGGAAGCCTTTTCTTCTCCCCTCTCCTACAAGACAGACAGGAATCGAGGTTTAGGGAGGGGTCTGCTGCATTCAGAAAGACCAGGTGAGAGAGATCCAGTCACCAGCCAGCAGATGTGCATCACCAAGGCTGGTGACCAGGTCGGAGTGCGGAACCTTCCAGATCCTGGCTGCTCTGAAACTTGGAACAGGAATGGGTTTAATTTGACAAGTTGGTCTGTGTACAGGGAATTCACAAATCATAGACAATGCCAAGCAGATTTGGGCACCGACAGCACTATCTGGCGCTGGCCAAGATGACGGCAGTTGGGAAGCTGGGTCTGTCATCCGGGCATTTGGATACAGACAGAGAAAGAGACAGGGACTCAACAAGGGCTGGATGAGGTGCCCGGCTCAGTTGTTCAAGATTCGAAGAGAAGAATGAATCATGTCCTTAATATCAAAATAATTAAGGATTTTGTTTTAACTGCTTTTCCTCCAAGCTTGGAGTGCTTTCTTCTCTCACTATGAATCCGACGCTGAAGATTGTAACTGAATCTGAAAACAAATGGTAATTTGCATGCCAGTCTCATGTAAACAAAAATATCAGCATTAATGTTATGAATCCTAATTTGTGCCACAGAGCTGAAAATCTGCATCTTTCTGAATTATAGGGATATAGACTCGGAGCAGTGGGTAACATCTCTGCAGTTCAGAAAACTGACAAAGTCTCTCCAATTTATAGGGAAATTGACATAATTTTGCAAAAATGCAAACGCATTTGCGAACCCGGTTTTGCATAATGGGATTAATTTGGTTGACTGTCATATCCACTATAGTGCGAAAGGGAAGTTAATCACAACATCATTTCGAGTTTTTTTTAAGGAAGAAAGAAAAGGAAGGTCCCCCCCACCCCACCCCGACATTTCCCTGACGATCTTTTCATTAAGAGAAAACACCCAGCCCTCCAGACGGCAGGCACCTTGGGTGGCTTTAGGAAGCAATGCTAGAAAAATTCCTAAGAGATACCTTCTCAGATACAGCCGAGTTGGCCCAGCTCCAATGAGAAAAATTAGCAGCTTTCATAGTAGGAAAAAAAAAAACTGCTTCCAAGGAAATGCAGTATTTGATGCCCGAGAGTACAGATGTGTTTGCTTAGAACTTCACTGTACCCCAGAGCCGAGGGTAGATAGAGCCCACAGTTTATTATGACACTCAGCTGTTAGACTTAACAGGGTACGACTTCTTTCTACTGATGAACAAGAAGCTACTCTGAGATGTTATGTGCCTCTGTTGATCTGAATGGCTGTGTTAACCTATAGAGGCAAACAGTCTCAATGGCTCAGGGGCTCCAGGAAGGTGGTAGTGGTTCCAGTTTCTTGCTACCTGTCCATGCACAGGTAGCAGGGAAACTCTGCCCACTGATGTCCCCCAAGATCCCTGGTCAACTGAGAACCATCCGTGATGATCCAGGTTTCCAGGAGAGGTCAGGCAAAGGATTCTGGGAACAGACCGAATGGGGCAGCTTTGGAGGTTTCAGCTGGAAGGAATCCTCCATGTTATCCAGGCCAGAGCAGGCTTTATGGTGACTCCTTTCTAAGGGCTCCTGGCGCCAAAAGATGAGAAAGCTCATGGGACGGTTGCCTTAGTCACCCGTGGAATTTTCTGTGGGACTGACAGTGGGGTAGGTGAAATGAGGAGTGCCCTCAACGAAGACTCCAAAACAGGGTGACATCTGTCCTCCGCTCATTTACTGAGATCAGGGCCCAGCCTGGCCTAATGAAGCCTCTGTCTTCTGTTGTCAGACGGTGCAGGGGTAAGAGGGAAACTTACCTTCCATGAAGCCTCACACCACCAGAAAATGACTCAGATGGGAGAGAAGGAGTGTAGCGGACCACCAACCAGCTCCCAAATCATCACATGAAGCCTTCCTATTAGTTATGAATGCTTGGCTTTATATCAGCTCTTATTTTAAACTGTTTCTATGTTTGTTTTGCCTTGGGGCTTTTTACCTTCTTTCTTTCTGTGTATCCTACTTTCCTGCTGTCCCTGTGTCTGCCTGGCTGGTGGCTGCCTGGCTTCTGGCTCCAGGTGTGTCCCCCTTTCTCCTTGTTCTCTTTGTTCATCTCTCTTCTTCCTAGGTTCCTCTCCCTATGTATTCTTTCTGCTGGTCATTCCTGCCTATCCTCTCTCTGCCTAGCTACTGGCAGTTCAGCTCTTTATTAGACCAATCAGGTGCCTTAGATAGGCAAGGTGAAACAAATGTAACACATCCTTACATCCTTAACAAGGGCTCCAGAAATAAATGTAACACACCTTTACACAGTTACTATTCCAGGGCATAAACAAATGTAACACATCTTTACATAGTTACGTATCCCACAAGCACCTGGATGGAGTGCAGAGCGGGTGAGGCAAGTCAGAATTCTGGTGTCTTAGTCACTGCAAGGGGTTCCAAGCCTTTTGGAGAAGGAGAAGAGGGGTACAGCACAAAGGCACATTTGGGACAGCCAGAATGAAAATTGCCTAATTTGTTTTATGGAGCTACAGTTAATCTGATACTCAAACCACACAAAGATTCAACAAAGAAAGAGAACTATAGACCAATTTCCCTTATGAACATAGTTGCAATTTTTTTCAATAAAATACTTGCAAACTGAATCCAAGAACACATCAAAAAGATCAGCTACCTAAATCAAATAGGCTTCATCCCAGAGATGCAAGGATCCCAGCTGTTGGCCTGGGTGGCAACTCAAATCTGCATGTGTTACAGCAGCTCCACAACACCAAGAACCAAGGGCACACTCAGATTGTGCTTGCTAATTACATCCTTCAGTGAAAGGAGTCAGAGATCTGTGGAGAAACAACCCCTTTGCCAGAAAGTTCTCAACGAAAGTAGGAAATGACCCCAGGTGAGATCTCAACCCCCAACGCTCAGGATGGGACTGTGTCTCTTTTGTCTGCCTAGCCCTTTGCCTCCTCCTCATAGAGGAGGGGTGTCTGGGGGTAGCTGCTCCACACAAGAGACCATGGCAGGAAGGCTTTACTGAACTCTAGCCAGCTCTGGTCTATTCTTGGGACCACATCTTTGCCCTTTCATCAAGTCCACCTGCAAACTATCTTCCCTGTGATTAGTCACTGGTCCCCATGAGGCTACAAAGAAACCATCCTGACAGACTCTATGATGGCCAGGGCTTTTGTTGGCTTGCTTGTTTTTTGTCAGCTTTGACACAAGCTAGAGTCATTTGGGAAGAGAGAATGTCAATCAAGGCATCACCTCCATCAAACTGGAGTATAGGCAAGTCTGTTGCACGTTTTCTTGATGAACAATGGACATGGGAGGGCCTAGTCCACTGTTGGTGCTGAGTTGAAGACAGCAATCTGAGCAAGCCTTTAGAGCAGGCCACTAGGCAGTGTTCCCTCAGAGTCTGCTCCTTCTGCCTCCAGGTCCCTGCCCTTCTTTGCTTCCTGCCTTGGTTTCCCTCAGTCATGGGCTGTTATTGTGATGTGCAAGGCAAATAAACCCTTTCCTTCTCAAATTCTTTTTGCTCCGTGTTTTATCACAGGAAAACCCAGACCCTAGGGGGTGCCAACCTGACACTTCCTATAGCCCACCCTACTTGAAGCCAAATGAATACTTGAGAATTTGTGTGATGAAATGTTGCTAGGAAACCACAGGGAGCAACCTTTGTGGTTGCATATATGTACCACATAATAATAAGTAATGGTTAACATGATAATAAATAAACAAACAACAATAATTATAGCGTGCCCCAAGCCTGCGGTGCCTCCAAAATTAATTTATGATGAATTACAACTCAAATTCCTTGGAACATGACAGTGGGAAGCAGAAAGGGCATGGTTTTGTTCACCATCAGGCACAGTGGGGTCACAGACTGCCTGCCCCAAACCAATCCTGGTCCTGAGGGTGCTGGGCACCCAGAGAGGGGGCTCCCAATGTATGCTCTCCTTCTCTGTGCCTCTCACAATTCTGCCCCACACAGTTAACTTTTTTAGATACTTCACTCGCATGTGTAATTCAGTTATTCTTCTGAAATTTATTCAAAGGATTTATGCTTATGAAATTATAATATAATGCTGCCTATATGCCAATGAGCTGGAGGCAAAGAAAATAATTTTCTTCAATTTACAGTTATGAGGCTGGAGGAAAATGATGCCTCCCTATCTCCTCCTTCTCTTTGTGTGTCTTGGCCTGTTTAGTCTTCAGGAGGTCCAGGAGCACAACATGCATCTTAAGCATATCACACTGATAATTGTGTTTCAGAGCTGTCAGCTTGGTGAAGACCATCCACCGGCCGTCTCCTCACACTTGAGCTATTTGTGTCAACGCCTCTTTCTCAGCGACCTGGGCCTCAGTAAAGCCAGCTTGCCGGGGACACTGTTAAGTTCTCTGAGAGGATTATTGGATCGAAAGGAAATTTATGGATGACACGCTGAAACAATTAATCAGGAAGTGCTGATGAAGTTTCACTCGTTTCTTTTATCCCTGGACTCAAAATATATGTATGTATAATCACAACAATACCGGGCCCTGCTCCCATTGTCCGACGGCTCATTCTGTCACTCTGTTTGATTAATGGACCTTCTGGAGTCCCCCAAAAGTCCCAGTAATACAAATAAAAAGAATCATAAATATTGAATAAGCTCACAGCCCAGTTAACCTTGACTACAGTTTGGGACACTCTTGGAAAAACTTCGAGCTACAGAAAATAAATTGCTGTGGGGATTAAAAAAATATGCGCAACTCATACCAAAATGGAGATTTGGGAGAATGTCACCTCTCTAACCTTGTCACTCCTATTAATCTTTTGTGATTAATTAGTTTAGTTAGCTTCACAACCGGGTCAGCCAAGTGCCAATGTGCAGCTAGTTCTACCAATGGGTGTGCCTGGGCCAGGAAGTAGGGACAGCGGGGAGGAGGAAGATGGGCTAAGGAGGATGGAGCCTTAACCCCCGCTCCAGCACTGTGCTGAACCAGGAAGAGATGCAAGAACCATCTAGGTGACAAGTGACAGGGTAGGCGGGGTGGGGCTATGTGGACTTTAGCCAAGGGCACCCACCTGCTGTGTGTTATTAAGTGCCCTTGACTGTCTTGAGCTCAGGTGTCTCACAAGCTGCTGCCAACACCCTTTTGATATTCTAATTGCAGACTGAACCCATCTTTGACCCAGAAGACTGATTTGAAGGAGGCTGTCAGGATTCGTAATTTTGGACTTCAGCATCTAGTCTGATAGTTCGGAGTCAGATTTGGGGGCTCCTTCTACAGTGTTGGAGTTCTGTGACCTTGAGGCACTGACATGGACTGATTTATGCCTCACAGGCTGATGTACGCAGCACTTCAGAGAGAAACCTGGTGAGTGTTTTCACAGATGGAGTATTCTAGACTGGGCAGAACCGCCCTCTGTGAAAATAGCCACACAAGTCACAGTCCCTGGGAGTGGTATTCCACTCACTGTCTCATGCAGTCTAGGCAGACATCGTGGATTAGAGGGACCTGGTGTCTGTGTCAAGACAGACCTTGGGCTCAGACATACAGGAAAAGCTGAGTGTCTTCCTTGGAGGCTTTTTGGAGACTGTGGTCCTGATGGCACCCTGATTTTGAACATCTACCCCCCAGGACTGTGAGGAAATAGGTTTCTATTTTTCAAGATTAATTTTTATTTTGTGTGCATGAGCATTTTGACTGCATGCACATCATGTATATACTTGAATCCACAAAGGGCAACACTGATGTTGGATCCCCTGGAACTGGAGTTGCAGACGACTGTGAGCTGCTCTGTGGCCACCAGGAACTGAACCAGGGTCTTCTGTAATAACATCCAATGCTCTTAACTGCAGAGCCAATTCTCTAGCCCCAGGTCTCTATTTTTTTAAGCTATTTATTTTTAATTTTCATCATTATTATTATTTCTTTGTTTTTTGAGACAGGGTTTCTTTGTGTAGTCCTGGCTTCCTGAAACTCTCTCTGTAGACCAGGCTGGCCTTGGACTCAGAGCTCCACCTGCCTCGGCCTTCCAAATTCTGGGATTAAAGGTATGTGCCACCACTGCCCAGCTTCCATTATTATTTTTACTTTCAATAAGCATTTCATTAATTTTTTTGACAATTCCACACAATGTATTTTGATCGTACTCATCTCCAGTTCTTCCCCTTAACTCCTTCTGTGTCCACCCCTACCTCCCTCTGTCTTCCAACTTAGTGTGCTTTTTTTTTTCAATTTAATTACCCACCAACTCCAAGTGTGTAGTCCACACACTTCTGAGTGGGTGTGGCCATCCACTGGAGCATGGCTGAACTACTAGGAGCCACACTCTTAGACATAGCTCCCTTTCACTCCTCTGGAACCAACTGTCTATAGCTCTTCAATTAGGCTTGGGGGATCATGAGCCCCTTCCCAATGTTAAGCCATGTTTTTGATAATTTGTTAAGTCAAATTGGGAAACTGCCACGTGCCCCAAATGTTCACTGTGGTGTGATTTGTAGAGAACAAGACAGGCAGAGCTCAGGTCTTGGCATGATACTCATTTCACTGTGCAAGTGTGCCCTGAGCAACCCTAGTTCCCACCCTGTCACCCTCCATCTGAAGGTGCTGTGAGTCAGATGAGCACTGCCATAGCTCCCAAAATGCTCTTAGAAGAGTTGGCCATCATGAGGCATGGAGATAACTCAGTCTGTACAGTCCTTACCTTACATAGGACCCAAGTTGGATCCCCCAAACCTATGTAAAAAAGCCTGATGTTGGGGCACAATCTCATCTCATAAACCCAGTGCTCAGAAGGTAGAGACAGACAGTCTTCAATTCACTAGCCAGCTAGCATAACCTAATCTACAAATCTTTAGTCAATGAGAGATGTTGTCTGAAAACAAAATGGACAGGTCCTGAGGAATGGTACCTGAAGTGACCTCTGCATGCACACTCGCCCACACACACACCACACCACACCATACCACACCACACCACACCATACCACACACACACCACACCACACCACACACACACCACACCACACACACACCACAAACCACACACACCCCGTAATTCAGTCAGTCATATCCCACTAAATTGTCCAGTACAAAGTTGTCCACTTTGTAGTAAATATTCATTTTATTTTGACCATGTTGTTTTTTTTTATTTTTCTGAAGTTACAGT